AGTGACTTTAGAGTTTTCTTCAAACACTATGGTCATTAAACCATTGCATCTTATATTGTCAACACACTGTGAAAATGAAATTCAAGAATCATTAACATCAAAAGAATATAAAAAGAACATAGTTTCACATTTTCCTTCATTGTTGTAATCCTAAAATATTGTGCTCAGAGGGCGTGAACAGGTAGCTAAAATAGATTTTTTTTAAATAAATAAAGCTAACAACATTGAAAATGAAAACACAATGGACAGAATTCTCCAGTCTGCCCTTACAAGTTCACTTTGCAGCACTGAAACATTAAAGTCAGTGGATCCACACTAATGTACACAAACTGATATACAGGTCTACTCATTTCTTGATATGCTAAAACTGTTTTAAGTTGTAAATGACATATGCTATGATTCAATAAACATCTTTGATTAAAACATCTTCAACATACCCTATGGTATTTTTAAGATCGATATACACAATAGGTATATTGCAAGGAGATTAGAAAGATATATAGACATGCTTGGCAAAAGCCTCAGCCCTGCTTTGGACCCTTTCTGCTCAGACTGATGTAAATAGGCTCTAAAACAGTGTTTCTCAATCTTTTTTTTATAAAGTACCCCTATTTTTAAAAAAAAGTATCCCCAGTATCTACAGTTTTCAGTCACACAAATTTTGTTCTATCATTGCAACACATTTGTTTAAACAATTTAATCATATCTGGGTGGGTGATGAAAGTTTTGGGTGTAAAAAGTACAAAAATAATAAAGCACGGAAAAATTTAAATAAAAAAAATCAGTTTTCTCCAAATTTCAGTTGTGTTGATGTACCCCCCATACTTCTCTTGAGTACCCCTAAGGCTGTGGTCACCAACCAGTAGATCGCGATCTCCCGGTAGATCTCAGGGGCTCTAAGAGTAACTCCTGAGCCCTCTCTGAACTGCGCACCTGCGCAGTACATTTACATTAGATTTCCTCATGTAATGTAGGTGGGGCTTCAAGGAAGGGGCGGGGCGGTAGATCTTCACCTGTTCTGAGACTTAAAAAGTGATCTTGGGTGTAAAAAGGTTGGAGACCACTGCCCTAAGGGTACTTGTACCACTGGTTGAGAAACACTGCTCTAAAAGACCCAGTTCCAGCTATTGGAGTATTTCCCCAGTGCTGGCACTGAAAAAGACATCTGTTATGGCAGCCTTCTAAAGACTCCTTTGCAAGCCCTAGCACCAAGAGTGTCCTGGGATTGAGGCTGGGGGCAGGAATGGTACAAGTGGGATGAAGTCACAGCACATAGTGCTGGATAAGTTCTGTGCACTGCTGCAACTCAAAGAGTAGTCCAGAGAGGCTGGTGTAATTTAGACTCCACGGCTGTCTAAATTATGCAACACAGGAGCAGGAGGACACAAATGTGGCTTAAGGTCAGAGACAGCTTTACAGGTGGCGGATATGTGCACCCACCCAAGGTGCCATGGTCAAGAGGCAAGGAGCAGGGCTGGTTTGGGGTGCAAGGTCACAGAAGGGAGCTCAGGGCAAAGATGGGGAAAGAGGCAGGGGAGGGAATGGGGGGAGTCAGCTGTCTCCCGCGCCGCTCAGCCGCGCTGCCACGTGGAAGCAAGCGGTGCAAGCAACTGTTTGCGGCCCGGCTGAGCGGCGCAGAAGTCAGCGAAGCGCCACGGCAGGAGGCAACAGCGCCACCCAGAGGGAACAGCCAGGGGGCGGGGCCTGGACGAGCGTGCGTCTCTGACGTCAGGAAAGGGCGCCGGATTCAAAAGGAGGAAAGCAGAGCGGACGCAGAGGAGACAGAGAAGAGAACGGAGGAGGTGGAGGACAGAGAGAGAGTGAGAGAGACGCAGCAGGAGAAGGAGAAGAGAAACACAGAGTGAGAGGCGGGAGGGGGAGAAGAGAAAGAGAGAGATGAAGAGAGAGGTAGGAGGTGGATGAGAGCTGAGAGAGAGAGGGCAAAATTTAAATCCCGGGCTTCATCTGCAAGTTCGAATGCCTACATTAGCCACCCTAGTTCGAACTAAGGGGCTAGTGTAGACATACCCTTAAACTAAGAAGAATAGGTACAAGTTTGGAAGTGATGTTTTTTCCCCATTATAGTAATATAACTCATACTACAAATTTGGAACTGAATTTTGTCCTAGTTTCACCAGTTAGTACAATTAATACACATTTATTCTGGGGTAAAAGCTGAATTCATCTCTTTATGAAGATGTTAAAGAGTTTAATAGAAAATGTTAAAGATTGTTAAATTCTGCTAGTTTTAGTCACTTGATTTCAGACAATGGGACTGCTCATGTACCGGGTAAGCAAAGAAAACATGATTTTGCCTTTCATTTTAGAGAACTGTAGGTTCTATGCTGTGATACCTGAAGTAACTAATATAAGATAGTTCAGAACGGGATTAAAGCGTGCTATCAACCTTTTTAAAAACTGCCATTTCTATATTGTTGTAACAGGTGATTGACCTTCTGCAAGTTCTAGTACAGATTGAAACTCTCTAAGGATGTTGCTGGACCAGGGAGTCCCCTTGGAAGGCCAGAGATAGGATCCCTGTGGGGGGATGGAGAGGGGCAGAAGCCCAGCCAGGCTGGCTGCAGGAGGACCAGCGGCTGGGAGCCCTGCCATGGGAGTCTGGTTGAGACATGGCACAGTGCCCAGAGTACCAGTGGACTCCAGCAGTGCAGTGGTCTATGAGCCTTGGTGGCAGGGAAACAGTTAGCCACGGTGGGGCTGGGAGCTGTAATAATGGGACCACAGGCTGCTGCGGCAGAGCTTGTGCGGCCAGGAGTGCAGCATAGCCGATATAAGGGCTGCAGCCAGATGTGATGGGGTTGGGAGTCCAGACAGTGGGGCCATGGTTAGCCGTGGTCATTCTGGAAGCCTAGGCAGCAGGGCTGCAGGCTGCCGCAGTGGGGATGGCGGGTCAGGAGCCCAGCATGACTGTGGGCTGCTGGCAGAGGGGA